ACACGTCTGACCAGTGCGGTCACCTTTGCGGATGACGTACGTGTAGCTAAGTCCACCCCCCCCCCCCCCCCCCCCCGTGCTGAGAGTACCACTCACAAGCTCTTGGGGCGACAGAGGTTGCTGCTGGCTCTAGCCACTGCCGGCGCCTCCACGACCACCACCTCCGCCGCTGCCACCCCGTCCACCACCGCCCCTGCCGCCTCCGCGTCCACCGCCGCCACCACCTCCGCCCTCGCCCCTGCCACCTCCCCCGCCGCTGCCGCCACCACCCCCACCGTTGCCACCCTCCAGCCCCGCCACCACCCCCACCGCCGCCACCGCCCCCACCACCGCCTCCCCCGCCGTCACCTCCGCCTCCCTTGCCCCATTTGCCTTTGCCGCTGCGGCGCCAGCTCGGAGCGGACGCGGTCCCGACCTTCTCAGCACCAAGGAGGTCGACAGCAGCAGTAGAGGCTACAGAGGGGAGAAGGGGGGAAGGGGAACACCCCTCAAAGAAAGGGGTGCGGGGGTCGCCACGAGAGGCACCTACAGCGATTGTGCTAGCCTTAGCTGCAAGTAGTTCCTTCTCGAGGAAGGCAATGGTGAGCTCTGTGGGGCAGCGAGCTAGGAAGTGGTCCCTGACTGCACGCAGAGTGTCAAGGAGGCGGGTGACTAGATGGTAGAGAGTGAGCCAGAGCGGGGGGGGGGGGGTTTCTTGGCAAGAAACTCATCGGGCATAGCGGCACGGAAGCGGGCCTCACTAGTGCGGAGGTGCGTGATGAGGTCAGCGACTGTGGAGAAAGAGGACAGGTCGGGGAACAGGTAGGGGAGTGAGAGACGGCCTAGTGCGGGAGAGGCAGGTGAGGAGTAGCGGGCAACGACAGCAGTGTACAGTGCCTGTGCAGTCTTGTGCTGGCCAAAGTGCTCGCGCTCATCTATCGGCAAGGAGTTGCGAATAGCAAAGCGAGCGTGGGCGTCACGAGTCTGCCACTGTGAACGGGTAGTGCTGTCAGCAGTAGAAGAAGGGGCAGTAGCATGGCCTAAGGCGTGATCGTACAGTGAGATGTCTTCCTTGGCAGTGAGCTGTAGGAATAGGTGCAGGTCATCGAGCCAGGTGTCAAACTTCACTGGGCGGCCCTCAGCATCGAAAGCTAGCACAGGAGGGCTAGCCATAGTGACAGTAGGAGGAGCAGCAGTAGTAGTAGCAGAAACGGCAGTAGTGACAGTAGCAGTGACAGAATTAGGGGCGCGGCTCGGTAGGAGGCGCGGCTCGGTAGGGCAGCGCGGCTCGGTAGGGCGGCGCGGTTCGGTAGGGCGACGCGGCTCGAGCCGAGTGACGCGGTTCGGTGGGGCGGCTCGGCTCAGCTAGGGAGCGGCTACTCGAGGTGGGGTAAGCAAGCTGAGGTGTGCGCGAATCGTGCACAAGTGTGCGGGAAGCGAACTCGGGTGTGCGGTAAGCAAACTCAGGTGTGCGGGGAGGGGGGGGCCACAGGGCGACGCATGGGTCGACGGGGACGGGCGCTCGGGTCCCCGGGGTGGCGAGCTAGCTAGGGCGGGGCCTGGTCGCTCGGGGCACACAAGGGCGGGCTGGTGGGGCGGGGCCGGGTCGCACTAGGTACGCGAAGGCGGTCTAGCTGGGCGGGGCCGGTACGCGAGGGCACGCAAGGGCGCGCGGGTGGGTGTGGGCCGGTCGCACGGGGCACGTAAGGGCGCGCGCTAAAGGGCGGGGCCGGTCTGTAAGAGGCTCGCAAGGGCGAGCGGGGCTAGGCGGGGCCGATCGCACGAGGCACGCTAGGGCGTGCGGGCTAGGCGGGGCCGATTGCGAGAGGCCCGCTAGGGCGCGCGAAAGTGAGAGAGAGGAGGGCGCTCGAGGGCGCGACTAGGCGAGGCGCGCGAGGGCGCGACTAGGCGAAAACGGTGGGCCCATCGTTCGGTCCTAGGTAACGACCTAGGCTTGTAATACCATGTGAAAAACTAAGAGTGAACGAGAATGGTGGACTAGAAGGAGAATGAGAGTACAAGTATGTCAAACCTAGAGTTGTGTACCCCCTAGAAGCTAACCCACTATAGCCTACACAAATATAACACATACAATGTTAGACATCCTCTGCTTGTCGTTTTGATTCGCACATTGGTTTCGCACAAACGCGCAAATGTGTACAGTACACCCGTGCGGAATGTCGGTTCTCGAGAACAGGGTAGCACAGAAGGGTTGGGTTTCCAGCCGTCAGATTATTTTCTGACAGTATCAGTCCCTAGGCATCGACCTACCTGTATTTCTTTCTGCACTCTCTCTCAGCCTTAGTCACTGCCTTGTGCTTTGGAAACCTCGCGATTTACCCTCGCCGTCAGATGAAATGAAGACTTCCATCAAGCTCCTTGTCTTGGCAATTCTTGCCGCACTCCTTTTCTCGGCTGGTGAGTTCGCACGCTGATCGCTCCTTGTCTTGGCAATTCTTGCCGCACTCCTTTTCTCGGCTGGTGAGTTCGCGCGCTGATCGCTGGTTCCCGACTCACCCCGTCATGGTTCACCTCTTCTAGGGTTTCCCTTCACCACGGTCATTGTTGCCTTGGTTGCTGCTATCCCTGTTCTGTTACTCACAGTCGCCCTCTACTTTCCCTTTCAGCTCTCCCAAGTTTGGCTTTGGGCCGTTGCCACGGAAAATTGAGGAAGGTGCTACCAACTGACAAGTGTGCGGCCATAATCACCAAGTACTACATAAGGCAGCCTAATCTTTTCGTGAAGTACAACGGCTACAAATGCACTGATCCCCTCAAGGCCGGCTCCACCATCTGCCTGCCTTAACAGAGCTACGTGGATAAAATAATCTCAGGAACAGGGCCTCAGATTCGTTTTTAGCTTGGCTGATACGTCAGCCTTAGCAGGCTATGCTGGGCTGATCAATCAGAGTTGGTTAAAAAATAAAAACTGAAATTTCAGACAAGTCACAAAAAAAAACGCTGACTAATCAGCCTCACTAAAAAACGCAGGCTGAACTGGATTGGTTCTATGTTTAGGGCACGCACATAGATGCAGGTTCGGGGTGGGTGAGATGGGGTGAGGTGGGTGTCCTTGTCGTGAGTGCGTGCGGTGCGTTGCTGTGCTGCACTGGTGGTGGGTGATTGGCGCATAAGGGATGTGACAACCAATCACATCAATTAAAGCATTCTGTCGGTGACAACGAAGCACCGACGCGTCGGGGAAATTCGTTTTCCCCCGCGTCTGCGCTGTACATGGTGACTTTTGCGTGATTGACAGGTGGATGTACCTGGACAGCAGGGCTCTCGTTATCAGACTAATTTGGTCTGATGGTCTGATTTTCAGACCTTTATTTTTCCTTTCATCTGAACCATAAGACAGTGCTTTTTATTTCGTCTGATCCATAAGAGAAAGGATTTTAGTTAGTCTGAATTATCAGAGCAGGCGTTATACTTCGTCCGAAATTTCAGATAGTGAGTTTCGTTTCATCTGATACCGACAATTCTGCCCACGTAGCCATAGGTTGTCAGTTCTGGCAGGCACCTTTGGTGGCTGTGATTGCACGTGTAGTAATTTGCGTCGCCTCACTGGCCGAATTTTGTAGTGTACTGTACCAGCACAAAGCCCGCCTCGTACCAGCCCAACCAAGTCCCTTTGGCCTCTACCAGCCCAGCCAAGCCACCATCCCCCCCCCTACCGCCCCCCACGTCCGCCAGCCAAACGCTACCGTAAGTCCCCCTTGCCTCTACCAGCCTAGCCACCCTACCAACTCCAGCCCAGCACTTCACCCAACTCCCTCGCACTGTCGCAAATCTTCCAGCAAAGTCCTCCCCCCCCCCCCCAACTCTCACATACCTTTCCCAGCCCAACCCTTCCCCCACATTGACCGCTCTTACCCTAGTCCAGCCCCACTCCCCTCTCGAGCCCCACGCCTTACAGTCCTGTCCACTAACGTGCAGTCTAATGCACCGCTGCTACGTCATCAAGATGCAAGTTGCAACATCAGACGCGGAAAAAAAAATCGTCTGAGATTTTCAGACATGCAATGGAATTTCGTCTGAAAAGAAAGACACGCGAAAATTTCCCGTCCGAACGTCAGACGAAACGGATTTTTGGGTTTAGGTTTTCAGACAGGCCAAAATCCTAGTGAGAGCCCTGCTGGACAGCCGAAACTCACGGCTCTGGCACGAATCTGTAATAGCGTGAGAGTTCAGCCTACACTCTCGTTATAAATCAGCCAACACTTGTAAAAAAACGCTGGAAAATCAGCCAATACATAAAAAAAAAACCTGAACAATCAGCCAACACTTAAAAAAAAAACTGAATTATCAGCCAACACATCAGCCACAAGTCTGGGAAATCAGCGTCCAGACCCTAAATCAGCCTTTTTTCGCTGACTTCTGAGGCCCTGCTCAGGAAGCTGCCGCTTTAATATTCGAGGTCCATAGCTTTCCAAGTTAGGAAGGTTGTTTGGGGAACGTGACGCAACTACAATACCAGTTTCTTCGTGGCAGGAGACGCCTGTATGAATAGCTCTAGATACGATAAGTCTCCCAGTCGCTGAAAGGTGATTCGTATTTGGGACACAACACAGTTTATGTTGTTTTTGGGTATCACTAAGTGATTGAGACACAATTGTCCCCACAGGAATGTACCCTGCGCTTGTAGTTCATTCATCATGAGTACCGTACATGATATACCGTACTAAGATCCTCATCCGTACTTCAATCTGGAGTGTTGAAATATATGTATTCAAAACTTGATAACCACTCAGAACCTCCAAAGAACCTCAGGGGCTTTTATTACCTAAGGGGATTTGATACCGGTTACTTCCGCTCACTTGCGCCCAAGGTTTCCCCTAAAAATCTGCTGGGCTTCTCTCAGCCCAGCCGGTTGCATGTGGCGGCACTGTGAACAGCCCTTGCTTTTGCGGCACGTCTCTCCGCTCCCTGCATCCCTGACTCCGCACTCACAGCAGCCTCAGCAGTCATGGCACGCTGCTCTGAGTGTCCTTCCCCTCTGCCGTGCAACCTGCGGCTCATCATCCCGTCCACCTGGGCTTGCCACCCTTCTTCCCCTCGTTGCCACCCTTCTTCCCCTCGTTGCCACCCTTCTTCCCCTCGTTGCCACCCTTCTTCCCCTCGTTGCCACCCTTCTTCCCCTCGTTGCGCTTCCTCTTCTGACCGCTCAAGTGCTTGCTGCCCGCCCACCCTCCCTTTCCTGCCCCCTTCTCCTTCTTGCTCCCTCCGCCCTTCCCCTGTGAGCCTCCCTGCTTGCCCCCTGTCCCCATCTCCCATGCAGCCCTCGCCTCGCCACCACCCTTGTGCCACCTCCCCTTTTTCGCTCCACTCCACCCCTCTGCATTTCTCTCCCTCTCACCCCCCCAACCCTTTCCATCCTCCCCGAAATTCCCGTTGCTCGCTCTGCCCCCCCTCCTCCCCCCTCCTCCTCCCCAAAGCTCCTCCTCCTCCTCGTCCTCATCCCAAGCAGACCTACCCCCCTCAAATTGCTGCCGCTTCCCTCTCTTCCCACCCCGCCCAGCACCGTCATCCCCCTCCTCCTCCCAACCCCCACGTCTCTTCCTCTCCACCTGCCCTGCCACCCTCACATTCCTCCACCCACCCTCCTCGTCCTCCTCCTCATACTCATGGCCACCGGGGTTGCCATTGCCGTGGCTACCATCATCACTGTCCCAGAACCGCTTGTGCTGCGCTCTCTGCCCCTGCTGCCCCTTCCGCCCCCACAGCCCTCTCTGCCCCTGCTGCCGTTTGCCGCCTCTCCCGGTGTCAAAGCGGGCGGCAATCATGATACTATCCTTGATACGATCCTCCCCGCTATCATCACTGTCATCATACCCCACAAACCTCGTGTCATCCCCGTCACCACCACCACCACCACCACCACCACCATCCATCTCTTCCTCTTCATCATCACTACTCAGCTGAGCCTTAACAAAGCGCTTCTTCCCTCCCCTCCCCCAAATCCCCCCATCTCCCCCACCCCCCTCTGCGTCTCCACTTCCCTCCTCCCCCTCATCCTCCTGCGTGCCCCGCCCCCTGCGAAACGTCTTGGGGCAGTCCTTAATCAAATGCCCCGCCTCGCCACACCGGAAGCACCGCCGCCCCTCCGCCCCCCTGCCCGCACCCGCTGCCCTCAGGTGAGCAGCAGGCGAATCGGCACCTGCTGTCTTGTATCTGGTGGCGGGGCTGTGTGAAGCAAAGTTGAAGGAGTTGAAATGGCGAGCAGAGGGGCACTCCTGACAGTGGGCAGGGTAAGGGGGAGAGGAGGGGGTAGGGTGTGCGCAGAGCAGGGGGAGGGAGGTGTGAGGGAGTGGTTGCTGCTGTAAAGTGAGGGGAGAAAAGCAAAGAGGAGGATGGAGCAGACTTATGAGGTGGATTCATGTGGTGAAAGAAGGAATGGGGAAAGACAAGAGGAGATGGGAAACAAGAGAAACCGATGAGGCGAGGAAAAACGGCGTTCGGGAGAGCGAGAGAGAGAGGACTTAGCCTCTGGCCTCTTCCCTCGGCCCTCTTCCCTCTATTCCCTAGCTATATAAGGGCCCCTCAGCCCTTCCTCTTTTTCATTAGTTCGTTTGGTGGTAGGAAAAACGGTGAGGTGGAAGCGGATTGAAGGAGACGGAATGCGAAGAGCGCAGGGAACCAGGGATGGTTGTGCAGGTGGACTCTTGCCGGCCTGCAACCCTTTCTACCTCCCTCCACCGCCCTCTCCCTGCTACCCCCCACCTCTCACCCCCCACCTCTCACCCCCCCAAGCTACCCCCCACCTCTCACCCCCCCTTGCTCCCCCCTACCTCTCACCCCCCCTTGCTCCCCCCCACCTCTCACCCCCCCAAGCTACCCCCCACCTCTCACCCCCCCTTGCTGCCCCCCACCTCTCACCCAAGCTGCCCCCCACCTAACCTCTCCCCCCCCCCCCCCCCCCCCCCCCCCCCACCTCTCCCCGCACCTTCATGCTGCCGCTCACCTCGCCGTGGTGTCCCCTGGCGCCACAGCAGCAGCACGACGGCTTGGGCGGCGGGTCTGCCAGGTCAGCGCACGCCAGGTGGCCCCACTGCAGGCACACGTGGCACTGCACCCTCGCCAGGTCAGCGGGGTCATACGGCTGCCAGCACTCCCCAAACACGTGCCCCTCCCCACCACACCGCATGCACTCCGCTGCCCCCCCTTCCCTCCCTCCCCTCTGCGCCCCCTCCCCCTCCGCCTTCGCCCCCTCATCAACCTCAGCCTTTTTCTCTCCGCCCGCAGCAGCAGTGCCACCATCGCCAGTAGCAGCAACGGTACTATCCCCACCCCCACCACCAGCAGCACCACGGCCACCGTGAGCGCCCTTGCGCCCGCCATCACCAGCCGCCCCCTGCGCCCGGGTCCACGTGCGGGAGGGGCAGTGCCTGACCACGTGGCCCGGCTGCCCACAGCGCACACACATCACCCTCTCGGGGCACCGCCGCTCCGAATGCCCCAACCCCCCACACACGCAGCACACCCTCCCCTCGCCCTCGCCCTCCCCCGCCCTTCCCCCAGTTCCCCCTTCACCCCCGTCCCCCTGCTGCACGCCCTGGCAGACGTGGGGAAGGGGCCCGGCGAGCACGAGGCCACAGAGGTAGCACTGGTGCTGCCCCTCGGCCGGTGTGAAGTAACGTGGCAGCCGTAGCAGCCGCCGCATCTCCACGCTCTCCCCGCCTGCGTCCCCCCCTGCCTCGCCTGCTGCTTCCGATTTCCACTGAGGCTCTGACTGGGCCTTCTCTTGGGGTTCCGACTGGTCGCCCTGCAGTTGATTCGCTGCTGCGCCATCGCCCGTTGCTCCTTCTGCTCCCTTGCCCTTCCACTTCTTCTTCCTTTTCTTTTTCCTCTCCTGCCCGTCCTCCTGGTTTTCATTCTGCCCGCCCTCCAACGCCTCCGCCTGTCCCTCGCCTGCCACTGTCATCGTCCCCTCCTCCTCTCCTCTCCCCTCTCGGCGTCCTTTCTTTCTCCTCCCTTTGCCAATCTTCTCCGCCCCATCCGCTCCCCTCTCCCCTTCCCTCGCCCCAGCGTACTCCGCAGCCCCCATTGCCATTTCACCACCTGACGTTGTCTTGCCTGCCGTCGCCTCACCTGCTCGCTCCTCGCGCTCATCCCGTGTCTCCGCCCCTACACCACTCATAGCCTCCCCGCCCCCTCTGGCCTGCTCGTCTGTCCTTGCCTCGTCCACCTTGGCTCTCTTCGCTTCCACGTCCGCCGTTGACTGTTCCACGTCAGCCGATGTCGTTTCCACGTCAGCCGTTGACTGCTCCACGCCATCAGCCCTTGTACTTTCCATGTTCATGGGGACTCTAGACTCCTCCACGCCCGTCCTTGTATCGCTTACGTCAGCCCCAGTGTTCTCCAAGTCAGCTCTGGCGGCGCTAACGTCAGCCCGTGCATGCTCTACGTCAGACGTGTCGCTCCCCTCTAGCGTCAAGTCAATGATCGGACTCGTTAGTGGCATTCTCGCTATTGTACGGGCATCTCCGCGCGCCTCAGTGACAACGTGCGTCACGGTAGTCTCACCTTCGACAATGGCATCCCTCGTGACAGCATCTTCACGACTACTATCTGCTCCTTTCGCTGCAGCAGCATCGCGGTGCATTACTGTAGCTTCCCGCCCAGCTAAATTGTCGTCGTCGTGAGAGGCTGTAGCAGCCCGATCGGCTGTAGCGCCCAGGTCGGCTGTAGCGCGTTCATTGACCGCAGCGCGTTCACTGACTGTGGCGATCCGATCAGCATCAGCGCGTGACAAGGCGGCTTCGTTCTGCACTACAAGCTGATCGATGTCGTCGCCCGTTAAACCCCTCGCTGCCCCTTTCCGCTCGGCTAAAACCCGCGCTGTTCCGTCCGCTCTTCCTAAATCCCGAGCTGTCTCGTCAGCTCCTATTGAATCCCGCGCTGTCCCGTCCGCTCCGCCTAAAACCTGCGCTGTGCCGTCCGCTCCGCCTAAAACCCGCGCTGTCCCCTCATCCTCGCCTAAAGCCCTCGACGCAAAAAACAGTCGCTCGTACTGCGGAACGATCGATGGCGGAAGAACCGACGGAAGGGCCGACGGCGGAAGGACGGCGGAAGTCCCGGGGGAAGACCTGGCGGAAGCGCTCACTCCCTCTGCCGGGCTCGCCTTCTCTAGCATCGCCATTGTCGGCCGGCCACGGCCCGCATGCAATCGGCGCTCGCAAGATGCGTTGCCTAAGGAACTCTCCAAAAGCCAGTGCGATCGCGACGCGAGAACGCGTGAGAGCTAGCGAGTTGGATGACGAGTGGCGAGGTCGCGACACGCGTCGAGCCTGCTGGAGTGCGGAATTTGCACCGCAGAAGGTTTGCTGGAATGGCCCGAAAATACTGAAGAAAACCCTAATGCTGGTAGAGGTGAAGCAGGCTGCTAATCTATCCGAGGCTGCACGGGGCGGCAAGGCTTGAGGATAGAGGTGAAGGGGTGAGACACGCAAGCAGGACAACAAACGAGTGCTTCAACCTTCAGCCCAGCAGACGTGAAGATGGTTGCTGTGTGTGTCGTGGTGTTGTGAAAGGGAGGTGCATTTATCGCGGTGTCAGAAAATGATCCCAACCGCATGCTGCGAAATCTGCGAACTTGTGGTGGGGGTCGGTTGCGCACATCCCAGTTCGCTATGAATCCAGCCGCGCTAGCGGCGAAAGGATAGTTGTCGCCACTAGTGGGACGGACTACGCACTTTCGCTTGAGGCGAGACGCGGATTGCCTGTTCTGCGTGGAGTACAGTGAGGTTTGGAAGGAACTACACAAAATAATCGCCCTTGGTGTCGTTCCCGGTTTCAATAAACCGGACTTACGGTGTCATTTGTTTGGACCAGTGTGCAAACCAGTCACCCAGGACACGAAGGCAGACAAGTACCAAGATCAAGGGTCGAAACGGAGTGTCGATCCGCCACCGCACTGTAACCACCTGTATCTATCTCTGTGTCGGTACTAAGGACGCGCACCTCCCTCGATCGATCGTGCAAAATCAAGGAAGATCGATCTTACACCGCACTTAAATCCCGCGTGTTGCATTCAAATTTATTTGAAAACTTTTTGAACCGAATCAAAATTCGATCCTGCGCAGGATCGATCGAGGCAGGTGACGCGTCCTAAGCGACCCCTACAGCGACCCGTTTTTTAGCGCAATTGAGCAGCGACAGTGTCGCAGAACCGCGACAGACTTGCACGACTTTCCCGTGACGGCATTTTGAACATAATCTTATCGATCCTCGGCTTTTCTCTGCGGCTCCTCCTCTGCCAAATCACTCTCGTGCTCTTCCCGCCTCTCGTCTCCCCAGGAGAGCCCCTCACGCCTATCCCGCCTCTTCTCCGCCGCTGCGCGCTTTGTTCCGGCGCCGGAGCTCCGCGCGGAACCCCCGACGACTTCCCTCTCCTCCACTCCGCCATTCGCGCTTCTGGCGGGCGGCACGGCCTCCCGCAGCGGCGCCATGCGCGGCGCCGCCGCGTTCCTGCGCGGATTCCTCGACTCCGCGCTGCCGCTGCTCGCCCTGCTCGCGCTTCTCTCCGCGCTCCTCCGCTTCCTTCCCCCCCGCCCCTACGTAAGAGTCCCTCTCTACGCATGTCCCGCGCCCTGTCGTCCGCCCGCCCTCATTCCTGCACCAACCCCTGTCCACCGCCCTGTACTCCTCTCCGCCCTGCGCGCTCTTTCCTTCACCTCCCACGCCCGCCATGGGAATTGAGGCACCGCGCCCCGCCTGCTGCACTTGACACCTGCCCTCCCTTCTTTCTTACTTCTCCTCTCTGCCATTGCCCTGTCTGCTGCCCGTGCCCCACTCACCTCATTCCCCTTGCCTGCCTCTCCCATGCACCCACCCGCCCATGCACGCACTCTCCATGCACGAACCCGCCCATGCCCCCACCCGCCACGACACGCAACGGGGCAGGAGGAGGTGGGGCGGTGGGAGGAGGCGCAGGAGCAGAGCGCCGATGCCACCACCACCATGCTGCTCGCCGCGCTTCGACGACTCAAGTGTGAGCCGCCTGCCGCCCGCCCTTGTGCTGTGCCCCCTGACCTCTGCACCGTGCCCCCTGACCTCTGCACCGTGCCCCCTGACCTCTGCACCGTGCCCCCTGACCTCTGCACCGTGCCCCCTGACCTCTGCACCGTGCCCCCTGACCTCTGCACCGTGCCCGCTGCTCCCCGTCCGCCGCCCATGCCGCCACCCCATGCCGCCACCCCATGCCGCCACCCCATGCCGCCACCCCATGCCCATGCCGCCGCCACCCCATGCCGCCTGCCCATTGCCCCATGCCCCTTGCGTCCCCCTTCCTCCTCCCCGTGCTCATTCCCCTTCCGCCTAGCATCTCCCGCACTCACCCCATCCCTCCCCATCCTAACTCCCTTTCCCCTCCCCCTTCCTAATGTGCATCCGTCAAATTTTCCCCCTATGCACTTTGTGTCGCCCTCACCTCTCCAAACAGCGGAGCCACAGCGGCAGCGCCTGGAGAGATGCCTGCCGGGGTGCGTCCTGTATGCCAACGACTGCCGCCTTTCTGCATCCTCTCATTACTCGTCCACCATCCATTCTACACCTCATCCCATGCATTCTACACCTCATCCCATGCATTCTACACCTCATCCCATCCATTCTACACCTCATCCCATGCATCCTACACCTCATCCCATGCATTCTACACCTCATCCCATCCATTCTACACCTCATCCCATGCATCCTACACCTCATCCCATCCATTCTACACCTCATCCCATGCATCCTACACCTCATCCCATGCATTCTACACCTCATCCCATCCATTCTACACCTCATCCCATGCATCCTACACCTCATCCCATGCATCCTACACCTCATCCCATCCATTCTACACCTCATCCCATGCATCCTACACCTCATCCCATGCATCCTACACCTCATCCCATCCATTGTACACCTCATCCCATCCATCCTACACCTCATCCCATGCATTCTACACCTCATCCCGTCCATTCTACACCTCATCCCATGCTTTCTACACCTCATCCCATGCATTCTACACCTCATCCCATCCATTCTACACCTCATCCCATCCATTCTACACCTCATCCCATGCATTCTACACCTCATCCCTGTTAGAATCCCTCTTCTCTTGTAACCTGCATATATGCTATAGGTTAGGCTAGAGTTAAGCACCCAAACTTAGTTTGGGTGTACAAACAGGGGTAACCCAGTTTGTAGGTTGGAACCCAACCTTGGTCCAATTATTGGACCCCAAAAGGTTGGGTTGGGTAGAATTATTGGCCCCCTCCAATAATGTTGGCCCAACCCCAACTTGGCCAACATTATTGGACCCCACCAATAATCTCCCAACCCAACCTCTTGGTTGGAGTCCAATAATGGCACCTTAGGCTAGCATCCAACCCCATTACTATGTATACCCCCTTGTTTCTCTGTCACATCATCAACTTCATTTCAACCTCTCTTCCCACATGGTATAGAGCTGTCATTCCTAGGCCTACTCCTCTCTCAAAAAAAAAAAAAGCCCACCTGGCCGCCGCAACCCCCAGCCTCTTCCCTAATTTTTTTTTTCCCTCTCGGCTATCCCCCCGCCTTCCTCTCCCCCTTTAGCGCCCTTTTTCCTCCACAGCTCCACGACCTCCCAAGCCGCTGCAGCCCGCACCACTCTCTTCCGCGGCCTCGACGCCGCCTCCGCGCCAGCGCCGCCGCGGCCTCCCCAGCCACTGCCGCCCGCGCTCTTCCCCTCCACGGCCTCGACGCCGCCTCCGCGCCTCCCCGCGGCCTCACCAGCCGCCGCCCGCGCCACTCCGTGGCCTCGACGCCACCTCCGCGCCAGCGCCGCCGCGGCCTCGCCAGCCGCCGCTGCCCGCGCCCTCCCCCTCCGCGGCCTCGACGCCGCCTCCGCGCCTCGCCGCGGCCTCGCCAGCCGCCGCCCGCGCCACTCCGCGGCCTCGACGCCGCCTCCGCGCCAGCGCCGCCGCGGCCTCGCCAGCCGCCGCCGCCCGCGCCCTTCCCCTCCGCGGCCTCGCCAGCCGCCGCCGCCCGCGCCCTTCCCCTCCGCGGCCTCAACGCCGCCTCCGCGCCTCGCCGCGGCCTCGCCAGCCGCCGCCCGCGCCACTCCGCGGCCTCGCCGCCGCCTCCGCGCCAGCGCCGCCGCGGCCTCGCCAGCCGCCGCCGCCGCCTGCGCCCTTCCCCTCCGCGGCCTCAACGCCGCCTCTGTGCCTCGCCGCGGCCTCGCCAGCCGCCACCCGCGCCACTCCGCGGCCTCACCGCCGTCTCCGCGCCAGCGCCGCCGCGGCCTCGCCAGCCGCCGCCGCCCACGCCCTTCCCCTCCGCGGCCTCGACGCCGCCTCCGCGCCTCGCCGCGGCCTCGCCAGCCGCCACCCGCGCCACTCCGCGGCCTCGCCGCCGCCTCCGCGCTAGCACCGCCACGGCCTCGCCAGCCGCCGCCCGCCCGCGCCCTTCCCCTCCGCGGCCTCGACGCCGCCTCCGCGCCTCGTCGCGGCCTCGCCAGCCGCCGCCCGCGCCACTCCGCGGCCTCGCCGCCGCCTCCGCGCCAGCGCCGCCGCGGCCTCGCCAGCCGTCGCTGCCAGCGCCCTCCCCCTCCGCGGCCTCGACGCCGCCTCCGCGCCAGCGTCCCGCGGCCTTAACAGCCGCTGCCGCCCGCGCCCTTCCCCTACGCGGCCTCGTCTCCACCTCTCCTCACGCCCCTCCGGGACCACTGCGGGTCCACCCGCGGCCGTCCATCATGGCTCACGCCACACCCTCCCCCCTCCCTCCTCCTATTGATACCTCCTCTATCGATAAGCTGCAACTCGCCGCGGACAAATCCGCCGTCAACTGGCACTCCTTCATCGGCAGCATTCGTCGAGTTCTCTCCGATACATGGGTTCCCCCCTAGGGATGAGCAAAGGGCGAACACGAACATGTTCGTCTTCGCCCCTTGTCGAACACCCTCTTTTGCCGAACCGAACACTGTTCGGTTCGGCGAACAGTTTAGGAAAAGACAGGTGTTCGCTGTTCGCCTGTGGAGGCGTGTTCGGGCGAACCTCGAACACTGTTCGTGTTCGTCGCGGGCAAATTTCAGCAGCGGCCCGAACACGAACGTGTTCGGGCGAACATCGAACACTGTTCGGCGAACGATTTGAGCTAAAAAACGAAACCCGTTCGAGGCGAACCGAACAGGTGTTCGCCACCTTGCTCATCCCTATTCCCCCCTACCGCGTCCTTGACGTCATCCTCCGCCGTCCCCATGCTCTCCCCCCCACCGCTCCTGACCACCCCGGCGAGACCCCTCCTCTCCCTCCCTCTCCTGGCGATTCTCCTCGTGAACCCGACCTCCAACTCACCGTCGACCAAGCCACCGCTGATGCAGACTTCATCTTACGACGACGTGCATACCTTATTCGCAAAGCTGAGTACGATGCAGTAGTTGAAGCCTATGACCAGGCAGTTGCTGGCCGCAATGCTCATCTTGCCGTCGTCGCCAAATACAACGACGACTTGGCTACCTTTACCCCAAGCCTCATCGCCTGGACAGCTGCTAACACCCGCGCCTGCACCGTTCTCCTCGGGGCTCTCCCTGACTCCCTTATGCGCCGTTTCTAGGCTCGGGAATTCCGTGCCTCGATCATTTGGGCCGAACTCCATGCCATGTTCGAGCGCCGCGACATCAGCTCGGTTGGCATCCTCTTTCAAGAGTACTTTTCAATCACCCTCGCTACATGTGACGGAGCGGTCGACTATGTCGGACGTATGCGAGAAGTAGCTGATCGCCTCGAAGCCCGCCAGGCTGGCCTCTCCGAACCCCTCCAAATCCATCGCCTCCTGTTTAACCTCACCCCAGACTATGAATCACGCCTTCACGCCTTTACCGAAGCCAATCCCATGGCCGATCTCGCCTCTGTTGAGCAGTGGATCATAGACACCGAAGTCAAACTTCGCACCCCCATTGTCAACCTCGCCTCCTCCCAACCCTCCTCCTCCTCCCTCAACGCTACCCAGCCCCGCAAGCAGGCTCGGAACAACGGCAAAGGGGGAGGTGGGGGCAAGGGAGGTGGCGGTCAGGGCAACGGCAGCACAAACAGCCGTGGCGGCGCCACTGGGGATGAGCATGGCACCACTAATTCGGGCGGAGCCTCTGCAGGCCGCGGAAGTCGTCCTGGCACTCTTCCGCCCTGCACCTATGTCCGTCGCTATGGTCCCCGGGCTGGAACACCCTGCGGGCAGACAAACCATCCCCCTAGCACTTGCTTCAAGGCTCTCGATGATGCCTGGTACGTGCGGGGCAATGTTGGCACTCCTCCCAAGTGGGGAACGATCTCCCCACGTCCCTCCCTTGCCGACATCCAAACCAACCCCGCTTACCTCCCTGCCCACCTCCGCCTCCTTGTTCCCCCCACACCGCTCCTCAATCTCCAACAGCAGCACCTCCTGCAGCAGCACCAGCAGCAGCAGCAACAGCAGCAGCAGCAGCAGCTGTTTCATCAGCAGCCACAGCAGCAGCAGCAGCCGCAACCCCAGCCGCACCCATGGGGAACTGGACTCCTACCCCAGTGGGGACCCAGCCCTCCTCCTTGGCAGCAGCAGCAGCTGAATTTTGGCACAGCTGCCATAGCCGCTCAAGCCTCACCGTCCCCCCTTTGGGGTGCTCCACCCCCTAGTAGCACTGCCCCTCCTCTTACCCAGGAGAGCTTTCTTGGCAACATTGCTGTCTCACCCTCACTTCCTTCCATGTACCCATCCACCGTTAATGAAACTACCTTCCAGTACTCCGTCTCTTCCTCCTCCTCACCCACTCTGGACTTTGTCCTCGATAGTGGGGCCACTGAGACCGCTCTCAAGGATGCTGGTACACTCACACCCCTCTCTCCTCCCACGCACGTTCACGGCGCTGACAGCAGCTTCACCATCCCATGCACACACCTCTCCACTCTCCCCTGCACACTCTTCCCCTCTGGTAAGGTAACTGGTCTCCACATCCCCACCCTCCGAAACAACCTCCTCTCCCACCGTGAAATCCAAACTGCAGGTATCACTGCCGTCTATCCAGGTAATGCCACCTACTGTGACCTCTACCACACCGCCACTGGTCGCTTCCTTCTACGCATTCCCCTCTGCCCCCGCACTCGCCTCTACACTCTCCGCACCCCTTGGCCATCCTTCTGCCATGTCACCACCCGTGCTGGCACTTCCACTAACCCTCCCCATCCCCCTACCTCACCTCCACGCCACCAGCAGGGGCCGCAGCAGCAGCAGCAGCAGCAGCCGCCGCCGCAGAGGCAGCAGCAGGGGCCGCAGCAACAGCAGCAGCAGCAGCCGCCACAGCAGGGGCAGCCACAGCAGCAGCAGCAGCCGCCGCAGAGGCAGCAGCAGGGGCTGCAGCAGCAGCGGCAGCCGCAACAGCAGCAGCAGCAGTCACCTCCCCCTCTCTCACTCACTCCAACCCCCTCCACCTCCGATCATCTCTCCCACCCCGCTGTACTGCTCCACCACCGTCTCGGCCACCCCAATTTCGCCGCCCTCCGCACTGCCATCACCTCTCGCCTCCTTCACGGCCTCCCTCCCACTCTCCCCCCCCTCCCTTCCTCTCCAGCCCCTCCATGCCCCTCGTGCATCCACGGCAAACTCAAACAGTCCCCCCACCACAGCCACCCATCCTTCACTCCCGCTCCAATTGACCTCGTCCATATGGACCTCTGGGGACCCTCCCCCACTCGTTCTCGTCAGGGCCATCGCTACATGCTGGTCCTCGTCGACCACCACAGCCACTACTCCTCCATTTTTCTCCTCCACACGAAAGACCAGGCGCCGACCATGATCATCAACTGGGCCGAGCAATGCCGCGCCCACTTCAAGCGTCCCATCGGCCGCCTACACTCTGACGGGGGAGGCGAATTCCTCAATCGCACTCTCTCCCATTACTGCACCACCCATGGCATCCAACAGACTCACACCCTCCCCCACTCCCCGCAGCAGAATGGCGTCGCAGAAAGCCGGATTCGCGAAATCACCAAGATCGCCCGCTGTCTCCTCGCTCACGCCTCAACCCCCCCTTCCCTCTGGGGCTATGCTTTGCTCCATGCTGCCCTCCTCCTCAACCTTCACTCCCATCCCCAACATACCACCACCACCCCCACGGAGCTTTGGTCGGGCACCAAACCTGACGCCGCTGGTCTCCGTGTCTGGGGTTGCAAGGCATATGTCCTTATCCCTCCACCCGATCGCACCCACGGCAAGCTCGCTTCTCGCGCCCTCGAGTGTGTCTACCTCGGGCACAACCGCGACTCGCCTGGCTACCTCTTCCTTCACCCTCCCTCTGGACGCCTCATCCGCAGCATTGACGTCGTCTTTGACGAAACCACCCCCTATTACTCCTCTTCACCCCCAGACCCCCTCCCTCCTCCTTCACGTCCTCTCACCTGGACCGACACTGTGCTCCCTCCCCTCCTCCCTCCTGCACCCCTTCTCCCACCTCTCCCTACTCCGCTTCCGCCACCCTCATCTGCCGACATCTACGATCCCACTGCTCCCGCATCCCCTGCACACTCCGCAGCCCCCCCTCCCTCCTCTCCCCCCCCCCTCTCCTTCTCCTCCGTCCCAGCAGCAGGGGCAGCAGCCGCAGCAGCCGCAGCAGCAGCCGCCGCAGCAGCAGCAGCAGCAGCAGCAGCAGCAGCAGCAGCAGCAGCAGCAGCAGCAGCAGCAGGGGCAGCAGCAGCAGCAGCAGCAGCAGCAGCAGGGGCAGCAGCATCGGGAGGAGCAGCAGCCGCAACAGCAGTAGGAGTTCCAGCAGCACCAGCAGCAGCAGCAGCAGAGGGCAATTGCCCGCTCCTCACCCTTCCTCCTCCCTCGCATGCACACCCGCTCCCTCGATCCCATCCTTGGCACACCGCCGCCTCCCTCCCTCAACCAGCTCGAGGATTCCCATGAGGAGTTCACCATGGTCCAGCGCCACACTCCCTCTCTCACCACGCTCTACCCTGGCCTCCTCGGCGCTCTAATCCTTAGCGCGATCTCCGCTCCCACCATCTTCGTCCCCTCCACCTTCCAGGAGGCTATCACATGCGCTGACGCTGACAAGTGGATAGCCGCCATCTTCCTGGAATGTGAGGCATTTATCCGCAACGACTCCTTCATTGACGTTCCCCTCCCCCCTGACGCCAACCTTGTCGAGGGCAAGTGGATCTTTCGAGTCAAGCAGCTGCTGGGAGAAGAACCGATCTACAAAGCCCGCTACGTTGCCAAGGGGTTCACTCAGACCTGGGCTGAAGACTTCTGGTTCACATTTGCCCCCACTGTCAAGCAGGCCACCCTACGCACCCTCATGGATATTGGTGCGCGTGACGACATGGAGATTGACTCCATGGACGTCTCCAACGCGTTCCTGCAAGGCGAACTGCACGAGCGCATCTTCCTCCGTCGACCTCCCGGGTTTCATGCTGCTTTTCCTGACAACACCGTCTGGCAACTTCGGCGACCTATTTATGGCCTGAAGCAGGCACCACGAGAATGGCATGCGAAGCTGTCTGCCACTCTCCAGTCCCTTGGTTTCTCCGCCTCCCACTTTGATGCCAGCCTCTTCATCCGCTCTTCCCCCCGTCGCTTCTTCATCTCGGTCTACGTTGACGACATGAGCTCGCTGACACCAAAGCCGACATGGAGCAAGTCAAGCGGTCACTTCAGGAACGTCTCTAGTGCAAGGACCTTGGTCCGCTGCAGAACTACCTCGGCATGGCTTATCAGCTGACGTTCTACTCGCTCCTCTGCCATTGCCCTCTCCTCCTGCGAAGCTGAACTCTATGCTGGCACCATGGCCGCGCAAGAGTCCCGCTGGCTCTGCTTTCTTCTGGCAGAGCTTGGAGCACCCCAGCGCTGTCCTACGCTCTGGTGCGACAACGCTAGCACCATCTATCTCACCCAGGACCCCGTCTTCTATGGTCGCTCCAAGCACATTGAGCTCCGCTATTTCTTCATCCGCGACCTTGTCCACCAGAACCTCATTGCCGTTCGCAAGATCGCTGCTGCAGCCAACTTGGCTGATATCTTTACCAAAGCCCTTCTTCGCCCTGCGCACTCTGCTCTTCTCCGCCTCATCGGCCTCGCTCCCCCAGGCGCGCCTTGAGTCAGGGGTTGCTTCCCTCAAGCCTTTCCGCATCTCTGCCGGTTAAGGGGTTGTGTTAGAATCCCTCTTCTCTTGTAACCTGCATATATGCTATAGGTTAGGCTAGAGTTAAGCACCCAAACTTAGTTTGGGTGTACAAACAGGGGTAACCCAGTTTGTAGGTTGGAACCCAACCTTGGTCCAATTATTGGACCCCAAAAGGTTGGGTTGGGTAGAATTATTGGCCCCCTCCAATAATGTTGGCCCAACCCCAACTTGGCCAACATTATTGGACCCCACCAATAATCTCCCAACCCAACCTCTTGGTTGGGGTCCAATAATGGCACCTTAGGCTAGCATCCAACCCCATTACTATGTATACCCCCTTGTTTCTCTGTCACATCATCAACTTCATTTCAACCTCTCTTCCCACAATCCCATCCATTCTACACCTCATCCCATCCATTCCACACCTCATCCCATGCATTCACCCCATTCATCCATGCAGCGGAGCCACAGAGGCAGCGCCTGGAGAGGGGCCTGCCGGGGTGCGTCTTGTATGCGGACGACCGCCGCCTGAGTGCATCCTCGCTAAGAGCTGCTGGCAGTGACTCGTTTGAAGCGCATGGGCGCGAGTTCCCGTACTGGCTCGCCACCAAGCTCATCAACCGGTGAGCAGGGAGTGAGTCAATAGGAAGGGCGTGAGTCAGCAAGGGGGGCGGGGGATTGTTGAGCAGCGAATCGTCCAGAGCGCATGGGCGCGAGCTCCCCTTCTGCCTCGCCACCCAGCTCAGTAACTGGTGGGGCGCGAGTGAGCGGTGAGGTGGGATGAGACAGCAATCTGGGGGAATGAGTTAGCGGGGGGGAGGGGGGTAGGATTCGAAGTAAGCAGGTGGGCGACGTGAATACAAGGGAGAGTCTTGTTGCATCTTATGCTTTCTCATGTGACTCTTCGTTCAGGCAGGCTTACAGGTGCACTCGCTGTGGCAGGCACTCGCCCTGGCTGGCAGGCACCATTTCTCTTGTTTCCCGCGCTCACCATCACGCTGTGCGCTCCCGCTTCACTCCTTGCTCCGCTGCTCCCCTCCATCCCCTCCCTGTTCCTGCATGGGCCACCCACAGGGCGTATGCGCAGCGCCACGGGTACCGCTTTGTGGAGATGGGCGAGGCGGACAAGGACCCAGGCAGACACCCCTCGTGGTTCAAGGTGCCTCATGGTTCAAGGTGCCTCGTGGTTCAAGGTGCCTCGTCTTCCCTGCGCCGCACAGTGATGTCATGATTTTTGGTTGAATGCCAAGCGGCACCGTGATGTCATGATTTTTGGTTGAATGCCAAGCGGCACCTCACATGCTGGATTCTGCCACCCCCCCTCCTCACCCCACGCTGCTCTCTCCAACTTTTCTGCTGCTGCCAACGGCCATTCTCCATCTCCCCCCAATTCTCTTCAAATCAAACCCCGCCCCGCACCCCTCCTTGCTTATTCCCTCATCCCCCATCCCCATACCCACTCCTCCCTAACGCCTCAGGTGCGCTTCCTACAGTGCCAGCTGTCCTCCTGCTGCAAGTGCGCTTATCCTCTCATCCTCCATCCCCGCACCCCGCCTCCCTAACTCCCCGCCCCAGGTGCGTTTCTTACAGCGCCAGCTGTCTTGCTGCTGCAAGTGGGCATTCTTCCTGGACTCAGACGCCTACTTCCGCATGGACAACCACCGCCTGTCCATTCAAAGCTGGGTGGATCGACTGACTCTGCCTGTAAGTCCTGCCTGCGAGTCACATGTTTTTTCTGCCTGCCACCTCATGTGCATCAATCGCTCCCTTGCCTTCCTCGACTCAGATGCCTACTTCCGAATGGACAGCCACCGCCTGCCAATCAAAAGCTGGGTGGATCGACTGACTCTGCCGGTGAGGCCTGCCACCCCAGGCGTGCATGAGTCAGGCGCTTCCTTTGTCCGACTCACACGCGTCCATCCGCATGGCCAACCACCGCCTCTACCGTGCCCAGCTGGGTGCACCAACTCACTCTGCCTCTACGACCAACCTGGGACGAACACAATCCTACACTGCTCTCCACCTCTCCTTGCCGTGCTTTTTTCCATCAGTCTCTTTCCTTGTTTCACTTTGGCGCTTCAAACATTCTTCGCATGGTCAACCACCGCCTCTCTGTGCACTGCTGGGTCGACCACCTCACCCTTCTCGTGGTGCATGGCTGGATGGGTGCATGGCTGGATGGGTGCATGGCTGGATTGGTGCATGGCTGGATGGGTGCATGGCTGGATGGGTGCATGGCTGGATGGGTGCATGGCTGGATGGGTGCATGGCTGGATGGGTGCATGGCTGGATGGGTGCATGGCTGGATGGGTGCTGAGCTGGATGGGTGAAGGGGAGACATGTGTCTTTCATACGCCTCTATGTGCACTCATGAGGGGACCGCTTCATACTGCCCATGAGACCTGGGAGGGCCAACTCTTCTCATGCTCTACCAGAGCTCCTCCGTCTTCCATTCTGTCTCCCACCATTTCTCCCACCTTTCCACCCCTCTCACTCTTTCACCTCTTCTCCCCCTCCTCCACCCACCCCCCAGCACTACTTTGACTGGATCGCCCGTGACTACAACATCTCGCTGGCCAACCAGACCTGCTTCCCGCGCCCCCCCTCCTCCATCTTCTCGCACTCACCTCCCGCCTGCCCCCCGTCACCTGTGGGGACTGGGCAGGGTGGGGGAGAAGGCGAGGCAGGAGAGGGGGGGCATTGGGGAGGTGGAGGAGGGGGGGAGGGGGAGAGCCGGGCGGCGGTGTGTGTGGTGGCGCCGCGGAACGATGATGAGGCGTCGGGGATGGCGGAGGGGCGGGCGGGGGCGCTGTTCAACGGCAGTATGGAGTATGTGAATGCGGGGGTCACACTCTGGAGGCGCTCCCCGCACTGCCTCAAGGTGAGATTTGATACGTCTCAAACTGCGGAGGATGGGGGAGGGGGAAGGGGGTTGATTGATGGGGATGTTTAACGGCAGCATGGAGTATGTCAACGCGGGGGTCACCCTGTGGCGCCGCTCCCCCCACTGCCTCAAGATGCTGCTGCTCCCTGTTGCTTTCTGCTGCTGCTGCTGCCCCTGGGGCTGCACATTCCCCCTCACTGCCCCTGGGGCTGCACATTCCCCCTCACTGCCCCTGGGGCTGCACATTCCCCCTGACGCAGAGCACACAAGCCTCGAGCCTGCCACTGACTCCCAACCTCCCCTTATCCCCTCACTCAATTATCTCCCATTCCCTCCGATCCCCCACCCCGTTGTCTCCCGCCCCCTTCACAGTTGCTTGCCAACTGGCACACGGAGCCGGCGAGGCAGTACCTCGTCTCACCTCTCCCTTCTCCCCTCTCCCCTCTCCCCTGCCCCTGTCCCCGTTTATTACTCCGTCCATTCCGCAACCCCCACAGCTGCTTGCCAGCTGGCACGAGGAGCCGGCCAGGCAGTACCTGTGGAGGCGCAACTGGGAGCAGCCGAGGCTCAACGTGCTGCTCGCTATGCCGCAGCACGTTGCCGACGTGGCAGTGGTGCCCTTCCGGGAGCTGACCGGGCACTCGGGACGCGCCATCCGGCACCGCTGGCTCAACTCCATCATGACTGACGAGACGCGCAGTGACTTGGTCAAAGATGCATTGCTAGGCAGTTTCTTGACAAGTTACATATACATGTTTTGATCATATAAAAAGTTCTACATTATATTAGTGGTTTGGGGGCGCAATCCGGCACCGAGTCACCAACTCAATTATGACTGATGAGAAGCACACTGATCTCATGAAACATGCGCAAAAAAGGGCAGTTTCCTGACCAGTTGCGGTGCATGTACATGTTTTGAAGTTCGATACTGACGGTAGTGATATCCTTCTTGTAAAGCCTAGGATAAAAGGCCCTCGCGTCTTGACAGGGTCGCACAATAAAAATGTGGGTGGGAGAGGGAGGGAGGGGTACAAATGTACGTTTTTAATAAGACCCGGGTCTTATTACCGTACTTTTTTTGGGTTGCGAAGCAACCTATTACAATCGTTATGTACATTTTTTTTTCATCCTCTACACATGAAAAAATAAAGGATGAAAAAAATCTAGTGTCGGTAACTAAGTGACTGACTGCTAAGTATTTGCCACGTCAATTTACCACGCGGCGAACCACATTTCTTCTGATTTCCTAGTTTGCTAGAACCTATACCGTATTTAATGAGTTGCCAAAATGATGTACTGTGAACGCCTAAGTGTTTATTCCGTGATGCATATGCCTGATGGTGTTATGCGTAGATGAAGTAAACGCAAAATGCATAAATATAATGCATATGCTACTGAGGTAGTGAAATGAATGCATAGCATGATGAAAATGCGTAACAGCTAATTGACCCAGACCCTATGCTACCGTATCCCTGTCAAATTATAATATTGTGTAGGCTATAGTGGGGTAGCCCATATGGGGTACACATTTCTAGGGTTGCATATTTGTATCACTTCCATTCCTTAGTCATCCATTCTCCTTCTAAGTTTCTCATGGTATCGAGCAGGTTCCCTAGTGGGAACTGTGCCTAGGGCCCACCACATCGAAAAGTTTTTTTTTTTCCTGCCCGGAGCGCGCTCAGCCCGAGTCGCGCTCCCCTCTCTCGTTTCGTCGAGCCGCCCTTGCGGCTGATCGCGCCGCCCTCGCGGCCCCGTAGCCCTAGCGGCCCCGTCCCCTTAGCGGCCACGTCCCCTCAACGGCCCCGTCGCCCTAACCGGCCCCGTCGCTCTAGCGGCCCCGTCTCCTTAGCGCCCCCGTCACCTAAACGGCCCCGTCGCCCTAAACGGCCCCGTCGCCCTAGCGGCCCCGTCCCCTTAGCGGCCCCGTCCCCTAAACGGCCCCGTCGCCCTAGACGGCCCCGTCGCCCTAGCGGCCCCGTCCCCTACACGGCCTCGTCACCTAAACGGCCCCGTCGCCTACACGGCCCCATCACCCTAGCGGCCCCGTCACCTAAACGGCCCCGTCACCCTAAGCGGCCCCGTCGCCCTAGCGGCCCCGTCCCCTCAACGGCCCCGTCGCCCTAAGTGGCCCCGTCGCCTAACGGCCCAAAGCCGCCCGGTCGCCCGAGCGGCCCTCACTTGCGGCCCCGTCGCCGCCCACACCTGCGGCCCCGTTGCCGCCCTCAACTGCGGCCCTGTAGCCGCCCTCATCTGCGGCCTCGCCGCCCTCACCTGCGGCCACGTCGCCGCCCTCACCTGCGGCCTCGTCGCCGCCCTCACCTGCGGCCCCACCGCCGCCCTTTGCTGCGGCCCGTCGCCGCCCTCACCTGCGACCCCGCCGCCCTCACTTGCGGCCCCGCCGCCATCCACACCTGCAGCGCCGCCCGTCGCCCGAGCCGCCCCATCCAGCCGAGCCGCCGACCACCGCACCGCCCTGCAGCAGCGCAGCTGAGCAGCCGAGCCGCCCACGCCGCCCGAACCGCCCGAGCCGCCTGAGCCGCCCGAGCCGCCCGAGCAGCCCGAGCTGCCTGAGCTGCTGTGGAGTCGAGCCGCGGGTGCAGCAGAGCCGCAGCCGCTGCCGGGCTGCCCGAACCGTCCTGTCTGGTGAGAGCAGAGCTTCGGTCCCTGCACTGCCTCTGACCTACTGTTAGCACTGCTTGTCTACTGCTGTCATGGCCACTCCCAGCGCTCTCGCTTTTGATGCTGAGGGACGGGCCATTGACTTTGAGGTCTAAGTCGACGACCTGCAGCTGTTCTTACAGTGCGATAGGGCGGACGGTCTTTCTCTCTTTGACCTCACCTCTGGCGCCTCCCCTGCCCCTGCTGCCGATGCTGACGCCACTGTTCGCTCACAGTGGGCTACTCGCGATGCTGCTGCACATCTTGCTGTGCGGCGCCACCTGCCTACCACTGAGCGCGCGCACTTTAGTCAGTACAAGAGTGCTCAGACCTTGTACGACGCTGTAGTTGCGCGCTACTCCTCCCCTGCCACTGCTGCACTGAGCCGCCTCATGCTACCGTACCTATTTCCTGACCTTGCTGCCTTTCCCACAGTCTCTGACCTCATTACGCACCTCCGCACTAGTGACACTCGCTACCGCGCCGCGCTTCCTGCTGAGTTCTGCGCCAAGAACCCCCCCCCCCCCCCCCCCATGTACATCACTCTCTATTTCATAGTCACCCGCCTCCCTGACTCCCTTCGCGTAGTCAGGGACCACTTCCTCTCAGTCTGTCCCACCACTCTCACTGTTGACCTCCTAGAGAAGGCCCTTCTAGCAGCGGAGAAGAGCATAGTCGCTGTAGGAGCCTCTCGTGGTGACCCTCGCACCCCCATCTTTGAGGGGTGTTCCCCTTCCCCCCTGTTGCCCTCTTTCGCCTCTGCTGCTGCGGCCGACCTCGTTGGTCTTGAGTCGGTCGGTGCGGCGTCTGCCCCTAGCGGGAGACGCTGCTCTGGCAAGGGCAAGGGGGGCAAGGGCGCGGGTGGAGCTAGCGGGGGTGGTGGAGGTGGTGGTGGAGGAGGCGGAGGGAGTGGGGGTGGCGGTGGGAGTGGTGGCGGGGGTGGGGGCGTCGGTGGCAGCAGCGGAGGCGGAGGCGGCGGAGGTGGTAGCGGTGGGAGCGGACGCGGCGGTGGTGGCGGAGGTGGAGGCGGCGGTGGCGGAGGAGGTGGAGCTGGTCGGGGTGGTGCTTCGCAGCGGAGCGGCTCCGGTGGTGGTCAGCGCCAGCAGCAGCAACAGCAGCAGCGTTCTCGGGACATTCCCCCTCCTCAGAAGCTCCGTGAGTGGTACACGCAGCATCAGCGTGGTGGGGGTTTTGGTCCGTGCACCTCCGTCCTTCGCTCCGGCGACCGCGCGGGTGAGCAATGTGGGGGTGCCCACCCCACCCAGCGCTGCTTTGGCCGCCTGACGGACGCTTGGCGTCAGCAGTTCCCCGAGGCTAGTGAGATCCCCCGCTGGGGAGAGCTGTCTAGGGCAGGTGTAGCTATCTATGATCTTGACTTTGATGCTATCCTTGCTGCCATGTATGCTGTGACTATTAGTGATGAGGGTGACTATTACTGGTGTTTCCCGCCCAACCCGGGCATTGGTACTGCTGCGCTAGGTGCTAGTGAGGCTGCTGCTCTAGGTGCCAGCGCGTCTGCGCCCTGAGGTACTGGTGAGGCTGCGCTCTCAGGTACTGCGTCGGCTTCGGCCTCCCTCACCTTCACACTTGACTCGGGGGCTTCTCGCTCCTTCTTTCGAGACCGCACCACACTCACGCCGCTTGGTCGGCCGGTTGCAGTCTCCCTGGCTGACCCCTCTGGGGGTCCTGTCCTCTCTCACTTCTCCACTGTCCTCCCGTGTCCGGCTGCCCCCTCTGGCACCCTGTCTGGTCTGTAACTCCCTTTGTTCTCGACGAACTTGGTGAGTGGTGCTGATCTGCAGGATGCGGGGGTTCACCAGTTTACTCCTGCGAGTCAGCGGGTGACCCACTGCTCGTACGCTCGCACAGGCCGGCACCTTGCCACGTTTACGCGTCGGCCGGGGTCGAGCCTCTACACCCTTACCACTTGGTCCCCTCCTGTCCCTGCGTCTGGCCAGGTAGCTGCGTCGGGTCAGGTGTTTGCTGCAGCGTCCATGTCTGGTCCTGAGTCTGCCCCCTGCTCGTGTCGCCTCCTGTCTCACGAGACTCTCCTGTGGCACCACCGTCTTGGCCACCCCTCCCTGCCTCGTCTTTGAGGCATGGCTTCCTGTGTCCTTGTCTCTGGTCTTCCCTGGTCCCTCCCTCCCCTTCCTTTGGGGCCTGGTCCTTTCTGTGTCCCCTGTGTCGAGGGGCGACTCCGGGCTGCCCCTCACTCCTCTCAGTTTCCCCCGACAGAGGCCCCGCGCCAGACCTTTACGCTTCCGGACTCTCCACAGCAAAATGGGATTGCTGAGCGCCGCATTGGCATGGTCATGGACGTCGCTCGTACGTCCATGATGCATGCGGCTGCCCCCCATTTTCTGTGGCTTTTTGCGGTTCGGTACGCGGCGCATCAGATCAACCTTCACCCCAGGGTCTCCCGGCCGGAGACCTCCCCAGCTCTGCTGTGGACGGGGAAGGTCGGCGATGCGTCTGCGTTCCGTGTCTGGGGATCTCGGGCGTTTGTCCGCGACTTGTCTGCGGACAAGCTGTCCCCTCGTGCTGCTCCCTGTGTCTTCCTTGGCTTCCCCCCTGACGCGCCAGGGTGGCAGTTCTACCACCCCTCCTCTCGTCGTGTTCTGTCCTCCCCGGACGTCACGTTCGACGAGTCAGTCCCCTTCTACCGCCTCTTCCCCTACCGCACTCCTTCCCTCCCCCCGCCACCGCACTTCCTTGTGCCAGGTCCCCCCCCGGTAGACCCCCTTCCCCCTCAGGGTCCTGCCCCTTCAGGTGTGTCCCAAGTAGACACAGTCGAGCCGGTCAAGGTTGCTGGTGACTCTGGTACTGCTGCGGGTGCTGAGCTTGGGGGTGCTGAAACTGGGGGTGCTGCGCGCGAGGGTGCTGAGCCTGGGGGTGCTGAGTCTGGGGGTGCTGCGACTGGGGGTGCTGAGCCTGGGGGTGCTACGACTGGGGGTGCTGAGCTTGGGGGTACTACGACTGGGGGTGCTACGACTGGGGGTGCTGAGCCTGGGGGTGCTACGTCAGGAGCTG